TACAGCACAAGTTCTGGCCCTTTCATATAGGCATATGACTTTTCGCACCTGCAGAGGGAGTGGATTTGTTTACAATGTCACACAATCCTTCATTACCCTTCTATGGCAGAAACTCATGTCTACAGACATCTAAAAGGGATCCTATCAGATGCAAAAGTATCATTAAGTTGCACCAAACACTAGCTCAAAGTTTTTTTAGGAGGAAGAAACAAATAATTATGGATTTCTCGTTTTTTGAAATACAAAATCCAGCTGCTAAACTCAAAATTGTTTCCAACTTTTGCAAGATACACAGTACACAGTTTCTTCGATAGATGGAAACATACCTCACATTTATTTTGTCCTTAAGGTATGCTTTCCTTTTTACAAGCCCAGATAATATAACCCCAAATGAAGTGGCATTGGTAATTTTTTAAACTGGTCCATCATATGAGTCACGTATGCTTTTTCATCGGGTACAGTGTTACAAGGTCTGCCTTACCTCACAAGATTTTTTTCCAAATATGCAGACCAACTGTAGGCCTAAATAGGTTTTTGCTATCTTTCCAGTTTTCTCTGCTTTCAAAGCTTGATGTAAATTGCAATACAAAAATTAACAAAGCCACTGCTGCCTTCAGCAGATACCGTTGACCTTGAGTTCTGTAAATTAAAAGAACAGAGCAGGCCTGTTCTTACTCTTTTAATCAGAGGTAATTTTGACAAACTGCTTCCATATACTTGCTAATGCTTTTCTAAGCTACTCCACATCATTTCAGCACTCATTTCTATGTATGAAAGCTTTATTGTACTCCATTATCCTATCTGCTACCTTCACACACACACACACACACACACACACACACACCGTGACCCGTCAAAACCGCGTTCCACTAAAGCGCGCCGGATTAAACCGCATACCTGACGTCATCAGCAGCGCGACAAATACGACTGCGGGAAAAAAAGGGCGCTTTAAAAAGCGCTTTTAAAACAAGCCGATTCACATAAAGGTAAGGGTTAGGTTTAGGGTTAGGGTTAGGGTTAGGGTTAGGNAATTCCCCAGCCAGCATTCGCTG